CTAATGCTTGAGCACAAAATTATCCAGACACCGATGTCAACTCGTAAATTCCCTGTACTCAATCTAATATACTCGTTGCGTTGTGAAGTGCCGGCCGTTCAAAACCTACTGAGCGAATCATGGTCTTTAAAGACTACATGCACCATGGTGAATTAATGGGCAATCAAAAAGCACTTTTCCACAAAGTTAGTCCGGATAAAAAACTGGCTATATTGTGATAGAAAACTTCAGTAGACTGAATTTTATAAGGTCAAACTAGCGCCAGGGAGCAGGACGAAACACCTGCGGAGAGGATCCGTATTCATGGCTCACTTCACAGTATGTCTGATTGGTACTGCAAATATACACCGGATCCATACAAACAGAACTTTTTAGCGGCCCGGCCGGGACAAACTGTGGACCGAGAAGTTGGAACATTACGTGATAAGATTGTCGAAAGCAGAATATTATCAACCCATGCGGCAATTGTAAAATGTGTTTCCAAGATTCCTGTTTCAGTTATTACTCTAGAAAATAGGATTGCATACATGTGCATTTCTTAGTTGTTGGCGGGTTCTGGCATATGAACTATTTGTACGTGTGTTGTCCAATCTGTTCCACAGCTTATTTGGATCCAAATCATATAGTCCTGAAGGAGACTATCACGGAAAAGAGTTCAAATGGACTCAGCTGAAGGTCCCATCAGAACCAAATTAGGATGTAAGAATAGTGGGCATATTTTGTCCAATTTGGTCTCAGGCAGAATATAAGGTTGAGGAAAACTTGGGGACAACATCTATCTAATGAGCTCCAAGAATAATGAAATCGACTGTGGACTGCCAAAGAATTTTCAGCAAGTTTCTGAGTAGTGTGGTAGTTTCGGACCATGACGAAAGGCGTTGAACAAGATCGAAATTCCACTGTCTTGTTTGTTTCCACTTCACTGGTCCAACAGAAACCAGACCGAATTCAATTTGGCATCGATAGTTTGGCTAAATTTTTGGAATTTATGGGTGACTTTTAACATGTGTGGGAGTGTAAACCGAAGGCTTTGTCCCTGGAATTCCAATGATGGGAAATACATTTGTACTGGAATTACTTTTACCTTCGCCAAAAAACGGCAAGCAATAGAAATGCACTGCTTCTTACACACGGGCCCGACTGTATACATGGTTTCTCACTTCACAAGCAAGTTTATTGCGGAGCCACCATGAGGATATGCAATTTTAACTAATTTTCCCATAGCTACACCGGACCGACTGTATACATGGTTTCTCACTTCACAAGCAAGTTTATTGCGGAGCCACCATGAGGATATGCAATTTAAACTAATTTATCCCATAGCTACTAAAGCGAGCAAGTCAACCAAATCATGGGAACCTGTGTTAACACACTCATTGCATAATATGCGGCATGAATTACTCTGCCAATTCGCTGAACATCGAACCATCAGGTTTTCTACCCGGTCTCGAAATGCACTCCCTTGACATTCATCCAGGCGTTACTAATGACCTCTCTGGACATACAGGTTGTTTTCTCTTACAAATTAAGAATTTTTCACTGTAGCACGAAGTTTATCGCTGTGAAACTTTGAACATCAGTTGGAATTACGGTAGGCCACACCAACCACAATTATGGAAAATTTCGCTTCATTTTCGAATTCAATTATAATGAATCCATTAAACGTTGGTGTAGCTTACAAAATGTTGGTGCGATAGTCCTGTGTTCATCGGACGCAGCACTGTAGGCTTCGCCTCTCGTTTTCAGTCGACGAAGACTAAACCGAATTCCCAACTATTCAACGTCGTACAAAACAACAACAACCTATCCCCTGGAAGGTGGATGTTTCCACCTCCTGAATTTCACAGCCACCCTACCACTAATTTGTTGGCCAATCCTTCCAAGCACGTGCCATAACTAGCATACGGATGATTGCCCTTCCAGAGTGACTACTACTCCCCCCACCGAAGAACCTCCACTTCGTTACGATAAATCACAACACGTGGGGACCCAAGTGCAGGTCTCCCTGATCAAATTACCCGGAAGAGTTCATCAGAGGTTTTCTTTAACCAAAGTATGTGAACATACTCGGATGCAGACAGTAAATGTAGGAGTGAAAAAGTTCTGGACGACAAAATATTTAGTGTTACGAAAGTGCACACTGAAAAACATGTCATTTCACACCGATTTTCCGCTTGTGGGTTGGAGTGTGCAGGAACCCTTCGCGTAGATGAACGGAATCATGATATTGTGGGGTAGACAGTATCCACAATATTTTAACCAGGTATTCAGCTCCGAATGTTTCCCACTTAGCTCGATCGATATTGTCGAATGGTGATACAGAGCTCTCCAGCAAATGGGTCCTAAAAGTATGGATAGTTAAGGCCATGTCTAACAAGTGACCAGTATAGACAGGCACTACTTAGTACGACCTCATCTGTGGCAGAGAATGCAGTAAACTTTCTGACCGACAGTGTTGTACAGATCTAACCCGATACTTCAACTTCAAGGGATAAATCACTCTTCGCTTTGGAATACGTCGAGTCGTTGAATCAGACTCAATGAATTGAAGGTTAGTGAACCCCACGCAGCGAAGATAAAGATTGGATAACTGAAGTTTTCACTATTCAGTATTCTATGAGTTGAGGCGCTAAAGTTCGGTAAATTAGAGATTCCATAGAATGGAGGTCCATGAGTCTGTTGCGTAAATGTAACCCGGAGACAAACAGACATTCCAAACAACACATACCGCCACGCAGGTGACCGCCGAGTTAAGGTCCTGCGAACTCGGCATTTCGAATACGCGGAGATCGCAGACTAACTAGCCGCAGCGGATCGGTTGCCTATGACACTTAAGCCAGTCCACTGAGGTAATTAAAAAATCGGACAACCCTATTTAGTGTCGAGCTAGAAAAACAGATTAATTTAAATAAACAAGTTGAAAACCTGAAAATTCGGACTACCTGCGGCGACAAGCAATGCAGTGGAAAACAGATAGTCCATCATTAAATGTAACATCAAGTCCCTGGCTCGTCCCCAACTTCAGCATCTCATCCGTCGTGGTTTCTTCTGGTAGCAAGGCGGCTAGGCATCGTAACGATGCTTACTACATCAGAATGATTTATTTTCCCCTGAAGTTGGCACCCCGTGTTAAAAACCTCATGTTAGCTTCACACTTGGTGGATGTCTGTCTACGCACAAATCAGAGTCCACCTGAAAGCGACCCAGCAAGCCAAAAATGGTCATATTCTCCACCATGAGGAAAGCAATCAACCGCCGTTTCTTCCGTTAGTACGGGGTCTACTTGGGTTCGAACCATGGATCTGCCGTATTATGGCAGCGTAGTAAAATGAGTGTTTCGATATGTGCTCAAAAGGAATCCACATGGCTGACCGAATCGAATCCAAGCGAAGGCGGTGTTCGTGAAAGATGACTATAAAATTTCACGATTAGCCAGCCGAATCATGGGGCACAAGAGGCACTTGTTTGCATACAAGTTGTCCTCACGAAGTTGATCCTGACGCCCCACAATAAAGAATCAGTCATGAAGTTGAGATGACAAGATCAATAGATCAAATAAACCTGTGGAACAGGAGTAACCTGCATCCTTCGCCAGAATGTGCACCAATGCTATGGAGTTGGTGGTAGGCTGCGCGTTTCCACAGGGATTTAAAGACGTTAATTAATCTAGTGATCCAATAAAGACCCTCTGCTAAATTGTCACAGCGGAAAGCATGGGACTTCAAATCAACAGGCTTGACACACCCATCACTTACTTCGATCGATCATACTAAACATGCTAGTGGACACCCCGAAGGGTCAAGGCTCTTCGCCAGCCCACAGCCGGTTGCAAGCGTCGTGGAGCTCTAAGGTAGGCACAGTCTCCATGGGTTCGTCAACTTTATGTTCTACTTAGCCCCGAATTGTCCAAAATTTGACAAATACACACGGGAGCAAAATAAGTTGATATTAGCGGAAGACTCAACTGAATTCAAGTCAAGTCTCTCGTTTATGGTATACTTCAGCTGAATTTGCTGCACAAAGACGGCTTCATGGTTCAGTTGGTAGGATATTCGAGATACCCCAGTATATTTTTATAGAGGAAACCATTCACAAGAATACCGGTATGGTCCTACCACGTCTATCCTTCGGATTTCGCTCAGCCAAGCAACCAAAAGACATGACAGTACTTCAGGGTTAACAATAACGGTGTATCTTATTATCTGTACAATACAGGTCCGTAATAAGGATGGGAAAGATAAGCAAGTAGAAAAATCTCATCAGTCCGGAGAACGCAACTTCTTTCGTGGAGGTATAGCGGCGTTTAGGCTTTCGGACCAGGTCATTGAACCAGCCACGACCGGTGCGAGGGCTTCAAATACCTGAAGTGTGCTCAACACTTTACGTCCGTTCAAAACCATTCCGGATTCAGCGATGGGAAGACGGGCAGTTCGGTAGCCTCGCTTGACCGCTCCCTCATAGCAGTGTCCCAGAAAATGGTTGTGATCCACCAAACCTCCAATGACAAAGACATCCTCGGAAGATATTGGTCTGGCTAACTCTTCCATGTTGGTGGGAGGTGGCGTACTGAGAAACTGGTCAGGCAGGAGCACGGGGGATTCGGCGCACAGGTAGACAATGGACTGCGCATCAAACATTTCCCAATAATCTTCCTACGGAAGGCAAAGCATATAAATCCCAATAGGTGAGGAAGCAAGAACGTATACACTGAAGAGGAAAGAATATCAAGTTGTGATCCGATGAGAACAAATTCATTTGCAGGACTTCATGTCGCCCATATAGGTGTGAAGCTAGCGTAACACACAAGGTAAAAAAAACAACTAATGGCAAATCAGTTTAAAAAGCCCATAAAAATTGATATTGCAGAAAAATGGGGAAGTCACTGAAGTATGATCGTTTCACTCGGGAGAGTTGCAAAATAACGTACTGACTACGACTTATCTAAATCAGGTGTGTACACTGTAAACGAAGGTTCTCACCATATAACTCATTGTCATGAATCTGATGAACCGTTATGCAAGGAGTCATCTAAATCTCGAGTATTGAGTAGAAGTGGTCTTATCTCACGAACTCCACAATAAATAATGATAATTGTTCAGACGTAACACACATTGGGTGCCTAGCAACCAGCCAGATGGTGGAACTGAGGCGAGGCGGTCATCGAAGCGCTTGGGTAGATTCATACCTGTTTCCACTCAGGCAGTTTTCACGCCATGTCTAGGCTTGAGCAACCTGACAGTATCCTAGCCCTCGCACTTTCTTTGGTCATGGCAGTTAGGCACCAAAAGGGTGTAACCGCTTGACGATTTCTATTTTTACGACCAGCCACCCAAAAGAAGCACGAGAGACCAAAACTGCCCAAACCTAGGCAGGAGCAACTGAGATGCCGGGTTCGAACCACAGATCTTCCGGGTCAGTAAGTTCGCGCCCTCACCACTGAGCTAATTGAGATTCACAATAAAGTGGAAATTTGGAAGAGCAAGTGCGTCCGCGATGACGACATCAAACAATTCATTTGGGAGGGATATTCGACAAAAATACATTTTACCAAGATGGAACATAAAGAATGAAAGAGACAGGAACTACGCGTACATCACACAAATGAATATCCCAGTGTTCGGACCCAGCCAACGCAAGTCTGTCACGTAGCCGTACTGTGGGTGGGTCCGCAACTTGACTGTCTGCTTTCAGGCCAGTAACATATAATTGGACAGGGGTGACCAGTCGACGGTTGAAAGCATAGCAATTTGTAATCTGCAGGAAAACAAAGAGGGTAAATAGTAATGAGGAGAACACCGGGTGTACCGACACAACCAGCAAGCTACAAACAAAGGAGCTGCGTTGAATCAAGGCAGCCTATAACTCAATACATATCCACTGTTGAGAGAACCCGTACTGCAGCAGTATAATCTGCGACGATGGCAACCAGAGGAACGCGGCGAGCACAATAAACATGGCTAATGAATGCGTAACGGTGAGAACAAGTTACGAATCGAAACATCGACTAAAGGTGAAGAAAATAAACAGTAACCAAAAGGAACGGGATATGCTGACCTCTCCCGGGTAGTGACCTCTCTTCGGGCAGGCGTTACACTGAATCACGGCTGAAGACGAATGCTATTGTGGCTTCTCAGGGGGGCCCCCTTGGGAGGGGATAATGCATTGCGAAATACACATAGTCAAGTGGACTCTCAGCGGAAGTAAACGTCTGCTTGCCTAAAGCTTGCTTCCTTCGAGTGACATGGCAGCTAGGCACCGGTAGGGTGCTACAGCTGAACGCTTCCTTGCCAAGAGACTTCCTTCGCTTCTCCGCAATCTCCATAAAAAGCAACATTCCCAAGTAAAAAATAGAAGACCGACACCGAGGCCGTTTCCTGTAGAAAGGATGAACCTGCATCCGGTAGATTGTATCGTGAACTACGTTTCGATATCCGGGTTCGGTTCCTTGTATAAATGCCATTGGATTGACCGTTGGCCCCTTTCTCAAAACCATGAACATACTTTTTTATCACTATGTGGAAAAATAGCGTAATTTGATATCCGGGTTCGGTTCCTTGTATAAATGTCATCGGATTGATCGTTGGCCCCTTTCTTAAAACCACGAACACACTTTTTTATCAGTATGTGGAAATATAGTGTAATTTGCCTTGGGAAATTGTATTGGGTGTCTGGTCGTTCTTAAGAGATGCCGGCGATTGAAAGGGGAGTTCTTCCAGCAATCAGCAACCAGCGTCTCACGTATCGCGGGAAGAACATTGCGAGTAAGGAAAACCTGATAGCTCAATCGAGCATGAGGTTAAAAATGAACTATCTCCACCACGTTTGAAAGTAACTATGTAATGTTTCTCAATGACAGGAGTTCCACGTGGCACAACTTGGGAAAAAACCTACGGCAAATCCTGACAAATCCTGTCAGAAAGTTAAGCACGAATCAGTAAATGAATGCACTAGTTTCCACAGCAAACAGACCACTGTTCGCTCACCAACCTTGGAAAATTCGCCGACTGTCATGCAAAGATATCTCATATGGTAGTACATGGCAGGTTGCTGAGAAAAACTACTTAAATATACTAACATGAAATATGGTCATTGAGCTGAAATTACGAATTTGTTCTATACTAATGCATACCTGATTGGCCAATTTGCAAATGTCCTTGAATGACATCAGGTGATCATGAGCGCAATCAATCACTATTTTCGTTGAACAGGGTGATTCTGACATCCGCGGAGCGTGTGACAGTGCCTTCCGGGACCGCGGGACATCTGAAGAACCTTCTGAATTCGGTTTCTCGGTTTGTAAATAATCCGACAGAGCTCGTTTAGCTTTTCGTCGGTTCTTGTAGGCTTTGCGTAATTCCCGTCTCGTCTGGGTTGATTGAAACAGAATATTTAATCTGACAGCAACTTACCTCTTTCCGTCGGATGTAACTTTCTAACCGTTTGATTTGACGTCTCGAGGAGGAAGAGTTATCGGGACCTTCCTCAATCTAAGAGAGAGAGAAATTAAAACGTTCTTTACGCTAATTGATACATGCAATCTGGTGGTCAGTTAGGTCAAAATATTGGTTGAAATTTGGGGACTATACCTATCTCTGTAGAAAGTTGCATCCACCTACACATTGACTGTGTAATTGAGTTTTGAATGCAATAAATTCACAAGCTGATGTTGAACTAAGCCAAAAAAACTGGCTGAAATCTGAGAATTCCGCACCAAACAAAATCACACCAGATACACTGGAAAGAAAAATGTCTGGAATTCTTTAAATCAAAGTGTCAGTATGTGGAAATAGTGATTAACGCGATCCGATAACAGAGTAAATGAAACGCGGTGTGACATGGCGCTTAAATAGTAACCGTTCGGATGTAGTATCCTTTCAGTACCTAGCTGCCACGCCACCCGAAGGAAGCACAAGGGGAGAGATACTGTCAGCTTGTCCAAGCCTAGACGGGAGCTGTTGAGATACCGGGGTTAAATCCAACCACCGACCTTAAGGAGAAGAGCTTCGAACCTTAACCATTGATCCACCCCTAGCTCTGATGAATTGTTCAGTTGAAAGTGAATTCTGACGCTATTTTGTGTTCATTTCAAAAAATATAGGTCATTTCTGACTCTAGAAACTCTGAAATTTTCCTCTGTTAAAATATCTTTCCCCAACATTTCATTACGATGCAGCCAAAGATCCCGGCCACGGCATAAAAGCTGCGACCATTGAGCATTTCCGTTATACGGTGAAATCACTTTTGATTTGTTTGTCGTCCTCCCCACTTTGAACGAACTGGGACCGCGTTACCATCATGAGACGCAGTAAAATTTAGTTCCGTTGGACGAAAATGAACAGACCTAACTGGCGGAGAGTACCAGCTACATGGGACAGAACAGAAAGCCCTAACAAACGCCAGGTGCTACAGCGCGGGATTGACTGGCTTGTACGACGTCCAAATAAATAGTATACCCGTCAACCAGGTTCTCGAGTAGTCAATCTTCGCTATCTTGCTAAAGTCGGCACGTGTACAGCAAAGACATGTGCCAAGGCAATCAGCCTGTACTTCACTTGAAAGCGCCAATTTAGAAGAAATGGCGGTGCAGAAAATTTCAGGATCAGGTGATTCAGCTGTTCTTGAAAACACTCTACTTTAGAGGTGGGTAGACATCCTCATGGAGTATCACTGTATAACCACAAAAAACCCTTGAACTAAAAACGATCTGCTCAGGCATTTTGATTTCCTCGTCCATCACCATTAATGAGGAATTTCAATGTTGTTTGAATACAGTCCGGTGAATATGTGAACCGAGTAACAATTTCTGAAACTGAATCGACTGTTTTCCCCGTCTAGGGACTTACATCATACGTTGGGTCCAAGCAATCATCTTAGAATTAACACAACTAATATAGCTAACAGACGCGCCAAAATGGAGCTCTACGGTCATCATCACCGATGGCATAACATCAAAGCTCAATACTGATGCTTCGCTGTCGTACAAACGTGGTTTCTTTGATAGCTTTGCTGTGAAGAAAAGGAGAAAAGTGGATCAGGAAGGAATTACATGCTAGCCTAGCACAATCATGAAGAGGTGTCTGCACCACCAGAAACTGGATAGAAACTGACAAGAACACCACTGACATCGACTGGCGGCCATATGTTGCAGCGTCTCTAGCCACTCACAGCAGGGACCCGTCGAACTCCATCCTGGAAGGCGAATCGCACCGACAGTACACAGATTTTCTTAATCTCTCTCATTCCTTCTTTCCAGATCAAGGGTTGATCATCTTCACTGTTTGTGTTACTCTGAATGGGGCATGGAAAACCGTTATTCGGCATGCGCAATACATGATCAGGTTATCACGGCCTTCGGTGGAAGACATTCTTTGACTAAAGTCTCCGTTGTACAACCGAATATTCGCTTCCCAAACGTCTCGTTGCGGATTCGCCGGCACCAGCCTACACGAGCTATCTTTCTGAGACAACACTTATCGAACGTACCATACAGGTTTTTCAACTACAATGGTCTACATTCCCAAAGAAAGACTTACCCCAGTAGTTTCAGACATGGTAACATCCGTGGATACTTCGTCCTGCTCCTGTAAAAGGAGAACAGGGAATGTGAAGGGCTTGACGGCTAGAGGGCTGATGAATCAGCAAAATCATGGTGTACAAAGATAAACATATCATTCATGAGATATCGAAACTATCCTCAGATAATCCTGAGTTGCCTACTTGCGCATTGGTGTTCATTTGCCCCATTTTTCCATTTCTAGAGGAGCAGATCCCTCCAATCGAGATGCCGGGCATCAGAACCAACGGGAAGATGCAGAAACAACCCTTACCAAGATGCGCGCAAATTCAGTAACACATCTCCCCGTGTTGTGTTGTGCACACGGAAATTAAAGACAGGTTTGGAGTCCTGTCCCTGTCAGATGCAGCATGAGTTACCAACAGAAATCTCAAGGCATTTCCTGATCGTCAGCCACAGGACCACTCACCATCGTTCAGTTGTAACAACCTTCCAGAGCCTAGATTGAGCCACTCGAAGGAAACACGAGGGCAGAGATACTGTCAGGTTACTCAAGCCTAGACAGGAGCGGTTGAGATGCTGGAGTCGGGTTACAATCACGGAACTTCGGATCGGTAAGTTCTCGCCTTAATCGCTGCGTTATCTCGGGCTCCATTGCTCACCAACAAAGCGGGAATCTTCAGTCAACAAATGCGTCAACAGCTCAACTTACGGGAGGATTTTGGACTAAAAATATCAAACTATGAGAGACAACGGCAAACTATGAAGTCGTCACACGGCTATCGTTAAACCCAAAATTTCCCAACTAACTTCTTCAGACTTGTGCGTCATCAGAAACAGAAAAGTCACACAGATTTTTCTGCTTCGCTTTGGCCGAGGTTCATGCATTCATGGAGGATTACAGTAGGGCAAAGCGTTTGCAATAGAATTCTCGAGAGAGAGAGTCATGCATACAAGCGATCGCATGAAGCACAACTCAAATCTTTGTGTATCCTGAAAGTTCTGATCATCCACTTTCCCATGAACCTTTACTCAGGACTACAATCCATTGATTAGCCACTGTTTCCACTATGAACAGAAAACAGTAACCCACATTCATGAACCCTACCGAAGATACAATTACCGCCTATTAGGTTCACTCTGTAGGCAGCTACTTCTGACTTCAGCAAGCATCCCACTGACTGCATGGGGAAGGGCTTCGGTCATGGATGGCAACCTCCAACCGGATATTTCCTCCAGGACAAAACGGATGAAAATCAGTCATCAAATATGGCTTGCGCATCCTACTGTCGTCACATCAGTAGTAGCAACGCCTACGTTTCTCAATCAAAAAAGCGATATCACTTTACTTAAGGAAGATCTTATTTTGAGGAATAATAAAGCTAAATTCATTGCACAGACTACACCGAATATTGCAAACCCTTGAGCAGGTAATCCCTAAAGAGCGCACCACATCAATATTTCAAGCTACTTCAGGGAGACAACAAGGCCACCATCGAACTAGTTGGTGCTATCAGAAGGAGAATCTGGAGTAGATAAAAAAAACTGGACCCATTGTAAGATACGCCGTAGGTGAGTGTCATTAGTTCATGGGCTGTCTTTCACCGGTTCCCAAGACAAAACAGGACAGTGTTACATTGGACGTCTGGTTCGGGAACATCGGTAGATAACTGGTTACAGGATTGGTCCAAACCTGCACACAACAGGGCGTATATACCCACACGGTTGGGAACGGCGTGGGACACTGCCCTGCCTAATCGGCCTACGCTATATGTGCAACCAAGCAAAGGTTTGAACCTCACAGATTGACAGTAGTAGTCCAGAACCGCTAGGAAAATTGGAGGAAAAGGACACTGTCTTCGTTTTATCCGACGCTTTTGTTCAGGGGACAATGTTTCTAACAAGACTACAATCACTTATAGGTTATGGCTACAGCAGTAACCTCAAAGTCCATAGAATGACAGGCTTAGAATATGCACAATCAAAGGTGAAACCAACTAAAAAGGAGCGAACTGTACTGGTACACTCGTTGAGCTGAGAAAAAAATTAACTTGTGAACGAGCTGCTTAGGAATATTCATAATGTTCAACAATGATTGCAACACCAGATCCCTTGCGAAGAACTGACCTGTACTTAATTCATTAGAGAACAATTCGCTATCACCCCATCGAAGTTGGGTGTATTCTCAAAGTGCATCGACTTGTTAATCACGTTTTAATTGCATGAAGTGACAAAAACGAAATCCTGGACCAGAGTTCATCCTACCGTGAACTGATATAGTTGGTCTGTTGACAGCATTGTGGACCTGTTCAGTTTTGATACAAAAACCACTGAACGTGGGCCGACAAATCCGTGAACTTGTTCAAAGCCACCATACAATGCGGAAGCCAATTTAGGTACACTTCCCCCCCCCCCATAAAAACCCCTTTACTATGAACACATTGTTTTCCTAGTTAAATCAAGGATACCATCTCCACAATACGTTACATTTCTACCCGAGTACAATTACATGGATGTGCGCAAACCAAGATTTCACAATCCTTGGAGCCCTGAAGACTCGTCTGTCATCGGAAACGTGCTGAATCCCAAAACAGAACATAACAAATTACTCGCACGATAACCGGTGAAAAAGCAAAGAATGTACAAAAATAGGTGTATGGTGTAAAAGTCGATTTCATATGCATTAGCCTTGAGATAATCCTTGGTGATCCTTATTTGTGAGTTCACAGAGTACAGCTTCATTTTTTCCGCTTCTTGCGCTTTTTCTTCTCCCCCGAGACCGGTTTTTCGCCAGCAGGTCTCTTCAATCCAGATTCTGTGGGAGGTTCCGAGACGCGAACAAACGAGGCGATGAAGAATCCGTTGGTTAAATCGCTCTCCGGAGAGGCACGAAGACAGGCCTCGCATCCCATTTCGGAGAGACCACGATGTAGCCACCTTCGTCGAGCATCCGAATTATCGGCCGGCCAAATTGTCTCGAGTTTGAACTGACCATGGAAGCGCTCAAGATTTTCCAGGACCACCGCCTCGTTTTCCTAGGGAGGAAAAAATAGTGAGGGGTAAGAAGCTTGTTGGATGTAGACTCATTCCGTGACCAGGCCAAAGAGAACTCTTGGGAATGGGTATTTCAAACATGTGTACTTTGTGTAGTATGTGGAATCAACTGAACGTTTTTTTCGATAGACACACCATATTATCTTTCCACATACACCATAAGTACAGGATTGCCCTCTCACGAGGAGAACACCTCAGAATCACCAAGGTGCTCGCTCTGAAAACCGTTAACTACAGATCAAATTATGAGGGAAACTTGCAGTTATGACAGATGAAACGAACATTTAGTTCGCTATGTAGGCAACGTTCACGCGGAGCGACAGATTTCATGTAAAACTTACACTCCACCCCCCCCCCAACTGTGTAATCCCTAAAGGGTGTTCTAGGGTGATATACATGATAGTATTGTCGTCTGCATCGATAAAACCATCATCAAATCGGTACGACTCACATAGACCGTTCAATAATTATATTATGAAGAGAAGTTAATGGGTTATAATCAGCATATTCTGTTTAACAGTTGTACACATGACCATGTATCAAAATGTGTTCCAGCGTCAGATTCCATAGTGTTCTTGTTAGTACTCATCAGCCGGAGTTCCTGTGAAATCTGACTCCAGGAAGGAAACATGGTGAAATCTATTCGGCCCAGAAGAAGAGGCACAAGCCTGGATTCAAACCTATCTGCCAGGAAAGTGTGGGTCATTTTACACCGAACAAGCAACGTTCTCAACTGATACACCCAAAAGTGCGCAAAGGATGTGAAGGATTTTCAGTCTTGGTCCGTTCCTCTAACTAGCACCGCGATCTCTAGTCGGTTTTCTTTGTGATTGTTAGTCATTACAACTCTACAGCATAAGCCAGAGATGAAATTCGATTCATAGGTCAGCGGTTTCAGCTTTCCAAACGAGTGATATCTAACCTATGAAGACTCGAGCTTGTGGATGCTCAACGTCGGTTGATCACCTGGTTAAAGCGAGAATTTACTGACCGGAAGATCCATGGTTCGAACCTGACCACTGCCTCTCGACTACTCTTGTCTAGGCTTGGGCAACCTGACAGTATCCCAGCCCTCGTGCTGACCATATCCAGCTAATTCATTCGTATCAGATCGCTGATCATATTACGAAGGAAGCCCGACGATCGCGAGTGCCACGCACAGCCAAAGGGGTCGTTAGATAGAGGGAGTGCTGTAACGTCGGCTGTGGCGAATCGGTCTTCGGAGTATCATCCAACTGAAATGAAACCATGTACACTGACCTTGTATTAGGATCAGAGGGCGAAAACGATCTCCATAGCATATACCTTCTGGCCGGTACAACTAGCGGCCAGCATGAAGACCACTCATTATAGTTGGATTCACTGTCTCACAGACTGACCCGCTCTGACGGGTTCAGCAAACGCAAATGCAAATAGGTAGTGACAGCATCGGTTTTTTTGTTGAACAGCTGGAACAAAATAACTGCTCAGATACGAGTATAGTAGATACAAGTAGGAGCCCCCTGTCGTAAGCAAAAGAGGTCCCAGGAATAACTTTGAATATGTAAAGTAAGAGGTTGTTTCAAAGCGAGATGGCTTACCTCCGAACGTACGGAACAAGTCGAATAAACAACACGTCGGACGTTTTGAAAACTCAGCGCATGTCTCAGCAGTTGTGCCTGTAGATTCGACAGTCTCTCAAGACGCCTGGAAATATCCTCGCCCTTCATATCATCCTCACCCATGTTTGAGTAGCCCGAGGAAAGCACTGGACCAGTTCCCTCTGGTTGACGAGCGACCAAACCAGAGCCGGAACAGGAGGGATCCAGGAGGATGGACTCAACACGACTGAACTTCAAATCCATAGGATCCAAACTCAAAAAGTCTTGACAGATCGCTTCGACTCGTGGTTGGCTGCATGGAAGTTTCGTTGTCCTGGCAGTTTCTGGATCCGGCAGATTATCCACTATGAGTGAACCAGAGATAGATAACCGCTGTACACCAGAGCTATGTAGATTGTTACACAGAGTTCGGAATCTAAAAAGTGATTAGGTTGGAATAAAGTCAACAAGAAAACGTGTCGGGAAATATTGATCAAGCAAAACCACAAGGAAGCGGAGCGAGGCAAACCAAACCGAGATGTACTGAGGAACGGAGGAAAATGGAGGGATGTCTATCTGAGTGATCATATTTCAGGTTCAGTCGAACTCCCTCAAACCCATGCACGAGCAAACATGGTTATCGAAGCCGCTGTGGAGTGGATGAAAATCGTTTATGAAGTGAGCAAGGCTTCCATGCGCCCAATACATGTAGAAGCCTACAAAACCGCCTCTTTGAGTTGGACACTAAAACACTAGGAAGATTTAGCCCCCGGTGCATGAAACGGATATTCGTCAATTCTTCGGAGAGAAAAACAACCCCACACCACCATACAACATCCACAGTCAGACTGGTCTCAAGATGTATCCCACAAGCTTGATTCGGAAATTGTCATACCGATTTCATCATCCAAATCATGAACAGGATAGTGGTGCCACTTAGATGGATGAACGAAAACCTAACTAAATGCTCTCAACTCAGACGTCGAGGACCCGGGCTACCAAGCAGCAGTGAAAACGTGCTTGATAGAAAAGGAAACTGCTCGCGTGGTTGCTGAAGACTGTTCGATAGCCCACGACCGGTTTCGTCCTTATCGGGGATCATCAAGCAGGCGCAGTCTCTGAGTATCCCTCAACCTTTTGTTCCACTAGAACCCAAATTGCACAAATTTGGACAAATAAACTCATTTGCGTATCAATTTGGTTTTCACGGTAGACTTAACCTCTTGTTTATCATATTCTTAAACCGATAGGATCAAAATTGTGGACCCAGAAAATATGGATTTGTAATTTGTGTCCGCTTATTTGGCGGGCACTAGGTGCACACCAGAACATTTTGCTAGAAAGAAATGCCATCCCCATCTACACAGAATAACAGACCTGGTTGGGTCTCTGTCGATAGCAAAGACGGTAGCTTGTGGAGTCATCATTTCGATAAGCTGGAGCGTTTTGTTTCCCGGAGCAGCGCAAGCATCCAAAACATCCGCGTTTGGATTGGGTCGCAAGACCTCAGGGACAATGCAGCTTGCCTTCAACAAAGAGGAAAAATGGTTGCGATATATTCACGAATTTGAGGGATTTCGTTTTTTGTTAACAACTGAGCAAACGGATAGACAAAGTACAGAACAAAGGCCATGTTCCTACGATTGGTCGTTATTTGATACCTAAAGAAGTACATTTATTTGCCGAAATACCCTCACCTGCAAACTAATTTGGTTTTTCGAGAGACTCACCTGGAACCTAGCTGAATCTCTCGGTTGCGATGTTTCCGGGCAACTCGTGCCTGTTCGTGCTGAGTAACCCGTTGCAAAAGGAGATATTATGAAAATCGCTTGATAATTTCCTTTTAGGCTATTTCATGTCAGGATCTCCCTGCACTGGGTCACCAATGCACTCATTGGTCCACCTGCCTCACACAAACAACGCGATAGGTTTGTTCAATTTTCCAATAGGTATCCGCTTGATATTGTCATCCTGAGCACATCACCAATCGTATGGTTAGTGAAATAAAGCCAGGTTGTCAGTTACCACCTTGACGGTATGTTAATGGGTAGTCCACATGATTATTGGCAGGATATCATACTGAAAATGGGCGCCGTATATTAAGCTGAAACCTAAAGGAATTGACAGACAACACCGGTACCTTGATGAGAAACAAGTGTCCACTATCGTGTCACCATGTTTAGGCCAGGTGATGGCTTGCAACAAGCCTCTGTATGTTTGCTGACCATCATCCTAATGGTGATGAGGGCATGCGCTTCACACCCACAGTATAGAGTGTTGTTGTAAGACTGGGTGGGCCCGGACCCGAATCTCGTGCGTGCGGGTGAGCCTATTGAGATAGCAGATAAAATTACCTACTTGGGAATCTGTATCAGTTTCAGTGGTCTAGCCAAAATCAACATTTCTATTCCAACCGGGAACTTGTATCACCCGTGACATCACCCTATCCGTCAAGGATCGAGTTTATAATGCTCTGGAGATCTCCGTCTTGTCACCTGGGTCGGAAATATGGCCCATTTGAGTCAACAACAAATTTTTATAAACTTTTAGTGTTTGACAGTCGGTGTCTTCGGAGTTTTGTTCGAGTCTAGTGGTTAGTGAAGTCGAATGGTTTTCGACAGATGAGCTGATCACACTGCATACGTTGCGCTTGTTGGGTCACTTGCTCCACATGCCAGTCGACAAACTGCCCCAAAGAGAGCTTTTCACATAACAACGGGAAAACTGGTGACGAGCCAAGGGAGGTCAGATGGTGACTTGACAAACTCAGCTGTGCTGGTCGGTGTCATCTCCGGATTGGGATCCCAAGATGCACGTAGTCGGATATGACATAGTATCCCGCTCAACGGCGCATGCACCCGAGCTGTTGCCTTCAATACACAACTTCCCCGGTGAATACCTCGTTGCCACCCCTCCGTTCACGCATCAATTATATCAACTACCACTCCCAATGCACTACTATCCTTCCCCTACCTCTCCAGATGGTCGGCGAACGAAATTGTGGCGGCTATAACCACTGTACAGTATGTGCGCGGTTCTCACACCCCAAGATGATGATGACAAGAACAGATGGCTTGATAGGACGTGTTTAACTTGTGTGACTGAGTCCAAGACTGATATATTCCAAAAAATCACGCTTGTGACCTCGTTTCGTGTGAACCCTGCATCTCGTAAGGCATATATTTTCCCGTTAGAAAATCCATAGGGTAGGTGCCTCTAGGTATTATAAGAAAGGTAGAATTACGTAGAATTCCACATTAATACACACTTACCTTGTCCTGAATTATAAGCTTCCGAGAGGTAACAGCCGGGAGTTTGTACAATAGGCTTCCGTGAGCAAATATAAGCAAACTGTGGGAAAGGTGGTAATCTACATAGAATTGATTGTCTTCCAGCTTACGCAGCATCTTCCTTGTCCTGGAATGAGAATCAAATAAACCACAGGATGGTGAGACATTCATCAGTAAGAGCTATTAGAAACCACTCAAAGCCTTATTTCAGGAAGATGTACATGGGTTGCTTACACAAAAGGGACGAGATGGTTAGAGCGCGAATTTACTGACCGGAAGATTCGTGGTTCGAACCTGACCTCGTCATCAACAACTCAACAGTAGTTTCATCTTTGTAGCCAGACATGAGGCGCAGAAACTGATTCCATTAGGGATTGAATATGCACACGTGTTTATCTCAAACGCACCGGGAACAGAAAAGCTAAAGTTGTGGGCTCTGTTATGTTCCGATATTGGGATGCCGGCAATTTCAATGTCTTGACAACTAGATCAACTTAGCGGTTCGATCAACTCCGTGTTTTAGGAATCATGACCAAGCCAGAAAATTTTCAATATAACAGTTTCTCTGGGGTAAGAGAGTTCGATAATCAGACAATAATTTTCAATAAACGACCAGGATTGCCCACGGGATGTAGCGGACCCGATAGAGGCTAACTATGGCAGTCACCAAGGCAGGGATAAGATTTATCGTCCAAAGCTATTGTGGATCTTCCCATGGTTGTCTTCCCCAAAACAACCGTCATAATTGTCTTGCTTTGCTTTGAAATAAACAGCGCGCCCAGAACTGATACTGGGATAACAAGAACGTCGACACCGGAATCAAACGATTGAGAATAGAATACATGCTACACCATAAACATCTTTTTCTGGACCCGGCTATCACCAAGGAAGGACAGGTAACACTTCAAGCAATTAATGCCAAGATGTGCATATGGCTCTGTGACTCTGTCGATCTAGAGGAATAAGACTAGAGGGCAGCAGAAGTGAGAAGTTCGGAAACGATCTGCACGTTCAAATGATGCCCCTAACGTGGATTCCAGAAACCATTCTAGCAAACATTTTGTCATGCTTTGTATACCCAACGCCGGCTTCACTGTAAAACACATGAAACATTAGTCATAAATCCATATTTAATGCCAGTTAAAAAGGAAACGACACCTGTCGGAAAAAGGGGCGACGTTAATGGAACACAGCTCACATAGCGTTGTGGAGGAGAGATAAGGTGGAGAAGAGAGTCTAGTTTGCGGGAGAATAAAACACGAAAACGAATACTTTTCCACAGACTTCCGGAAATTCAGCCGACGACGTCTTTTTCGAACCAGCCAGAGGAATAACACATGCCAACGAATGAACTACTGCGAAGCGGTCGCTAATACAAATAGAGAACAGTTTCCGAATATCACACAATTGTCTGGAAGTTTTGAAACCCGTGTCTTCTGGGCATCAAAGGACGTGTATTTAATGCGCAAACTGCGCCCGACTGCTGCTAATCTATGTTGCTGAGTGTCAGAGCACCCGCCGAGAATTCCATATTGAAATAAAGGTGCGTGATATAGGCTTAAGTCTACATGTTTTGCGAAGCTAGATCACTTTAGAGACAAAACCAATAGTGTGTGCTGCTTATGCGCTCTAATGGGGTTATCTCCCCACCTTCCTGAGGATTGAGCAGAACGATCACACCTGAACTCTAGGAAAACTGTTCAAGCGGTGCGACTAAAAATCACCGGACCTTGCAGCTACTCATAAGTAGCTAAAACGAAAAACGACTGCGTGAACCAAACATAAGCAGGGCTCACTACCTCACCCGCTGATCTCTCCAACGCAACTACCTGGTTGTATCATTACACACGCCGTCACTTGCAGAATAGACTCAATAAACTGAACTGCTAACAAAACAACTACCTTATTCCGGGGGCCTGTAGCTCTGCATACTGTTCCGATTGGAGTTCCTTCAGGACTGATTCCAAATCTGCACGGAGTCTATTGACCCGAGCGTAGCATGGAAGCAACAGCCTGGCGTCATTCTGGTTGTCTAACGCAGAAACAGGGAGAAAGTAGAATGGCTTGTGAGGAGTAAGTCTAGATTTTCTAACCAGCAAGGTTAGTACAAATAGTAGGGCATTCGTAGGTGGACTTCTAACTACTCCTATGGTGAGATAAGCGACCCCGCTAAGTCTGTACAGGAACTTATGAGGAATATGATTCGATTCCGTCGAGCAATTTGGACGCGAACCACAATCCATTGTGGATCGCTTTTCTTCTGAAAGCAATCCGATCATCTTTTTTGGTTGATGAAGGCGTTCCAACCATACAAAAACTTCTGCTGATCAAGTTACCAGTAACCACAACCTACTTTCTGAACCACTCAAGAGGGCTGGGCACATGATACCCGATATTTCATACTCATAATTGCCAACAGCAGTGGAACGCTTTGTCGTTTAAGTGGAATCCAGTGAGGGACGCTGTCTATTCACCAGTTAGCATTCTGACATGTCCAAGAAGTATAGGTATTGTATTCACAATAATGTACACCAGTGTGAGATGTTACCAGATTACTTCACAACTTGCCAAATCATTCATCACCTTAGTTTGGACCTGTTTTTTTCTGCTTAAAATCCTTCTCACCAAAGCTTCAGATCAGTTTCGGTTGGGGTGGATAGCGCTCCCCTGTTAATACAGAGCATGTTGATTGTTTGGGTTCACAAAGCGTCTTTGTTAGAGCAGCTGTAAACCGCCAAAGTGGGAATAGCTGAAAAAAAGTACAATCTACTGTTCACTCTGTATACTGATATTATTGCAACAGTCCGATGAATAACACCAAGCCCACTTAACAAGTTTCGTTTGAGTATAGTTCTCAAGCTGTGCGGCTCTATTAGTTGCCCATTTAATGTGACTACTCTACCAGGAAAACAGACTACTGATGATCAAACAGGTTATCATTTCCCGCTACTGATGGTTTCATACACGGTTAGTTTTAGGGCTGGCACATAGTTCAAAGGGTTGCCTAAAATAGCCACCAAAGGTGATTAGCTGAGTGAAAGGTCAAACGAGAGAAGAAAATTACACAATACAAAGCGACTGCATGTTATTCCTAAGCGTCTTCGTTAGTAGAACTTTAGTCGGCGTATCATAATTAATAGAAAAGATTGCTCCAATCTCACCAGGACGAATACAGGCTGTGCGTTCGTTCTCCTTCTTACGCGCCTTCTTAACCACCTTGTATGCATGACGGAATCTTGAAATCGCTCCTTTATCTTGCGTGACAAGATAAATTTCCTTCGCCCAAATTTTGTAATTTGAACGAGAAGAGCCCAGCAACAAATCATGTAACGTTACATACAGCAGACAGTGCCGGCAGCCAGTTAACCGTGATTCACTGGAACTGCCCGTCCCGTCGGTTCTTTTCGAAGGAATATGTTCCACAGGGTATCGGCGAACAAGCTTGGATTGTTTGACAGTTTCGTGCAGCAGACTGAGGGAATCCAACGTCTTGCAAGCCAACGCATACAGCTTTCTCAGATCCTTGCAGTACGAATTATGAAATAGGATAGGGGGAAGGTAAATGGCAATCAGTTTTTTGGAAGTGAATTAAAGATATCGAAGACTCTTAACCACACTCTTACATGCTGTGTGAGGTGGAAAGCAGAAGCCTACACAAAAATATACCAATAAGTGAATCTATCCCCCTGTGAAAGCGCACCAAGTCGTCCTACCATCATCACGGAGGAACAGGATCCTATAAATACCTCTCTAATGAAGCACATATGTAGTACGACTTCAGAAAAATCAAGCAGTCAGTTGTATCGAAATTGACGTACAATGGTGAGGGTGAAGTAGTCCACCTCAAGCCCGTACCAAGCACAATCACATGTAAATATTTCTAGCGAGAAAATAATTTTGGCCATTTATGATTAGCACAGAAAGTGGACAGTTAGTCTGGAAACCTATCAAAATGGGATATGTTGTCAATTTCTGCGAAGTGTTCACGAAGATCAAATGCGTGGCTTGTCTGTTAAGACGCTTGCTTCATCCATCAGCGACCTGTTCACATCCTGATCTTTTGAAAAAACGAGATCAGAAGACGAGCAACAACACCTCTTCGGTGCCTAGCTGCCGTGCCATCTGAAGGAAGAACGAAGGATGAGATACTGCCAGGTTGCGCATGCTTAAACAGGAACAGTCGAGGTCCTGAGGTTCGGTTCGAACCACGGACCAAGTCACATAATCCAGTAAAAAGCAGGCCCCGTGTCAGATAAGGAGACGGTCGCACCTCTGGGGTAAATTTGGCCGTGAAGGGTAGGAAACAAAATTGCCAAGCTTAGTGAATAACGCGATCATCATGAGAAAGTACTATGTGAACACAAATGTCTATCTACAGCGTGAGTCAAAACAGACTGATTATTCGACTGTAAAACACTTTCGCTGCATAGCTGCCACGCTACCCGGAGGAAAAACGAGGTCTGAGATACTGCCGGGCTCCTTAAGCATGGACTAAAGCGGTCGAGATGCCGGGGTTAGGTTCGAACCAAAGACCTTTCGCTCAATAAGTTCGCGCCTTAACCATTGGGCCAACTCGTCTAAAAAGTACGATCGAATTCGAGGCCGTCCTAGGGAAAGAATGCGCAGTGTGTAAAATTGGAAATAGCAGGATGGGCCCACGGCATTTNGTGTGTAAAATTGGAAATAGCAGGATAGGCCCACGGCATTTCTTGAATGGCCTTCCCAACACATACATATATTATTCCCCATATCCAGTGAACCATCGCTAGATTACTGGCTGCGGTACACTCACAAGATATTCATCGATCAGTATATCTTCCTATCTAATGAGACCAAATTCGTTCGGCGTTTCCGAGGTCGAAATGAAAGTGAAGTAACGTATGTTTGAATGTTCGCCCGACAATCACAGCTAACAGTGGGGGTGTGCGTGAACACAAAGGTTATATTTCAAAGTCAAACTTACGGTAGAGAACTCGTTCCCGTACAAAGCTGTCTTTAGTCTGCATTGCTTCCCGAGAACATTACACACGAGAAATGATGCTTCCGAGTAGAGAAGAGCATTTAGATTATTGGATTCGGACATTGACATTAGTAAGCAGCTGTAAGCAGGTGTTAACTCCTGGCATTTGAAGAGATAAGAGATCGGAGGGATGAATGACCTCCAGGTTCTGAAATATAATGCAGATGCACAGAACAGTATGCCGATTATCCGAAGCGCCGCTCTGATGCTGTTCAATGGAAACAAAACTGTTTCGAGAACGATTATCTTCTCGGAATACTCAGTTTACTGCACAAAAGTACAAGATGAGGAATCCATTAAGGTAGAAAAAAAGACTAACAGATATGGATAGGCGAGCAGACAACAGCGCCATTGATGACAGGATTCCATCCCATTGACGATGTAAAGCCGTTGACGGGACGTTAAATGCACTCGAATCTGAAAATGAAGCACCAGTGTCAACACTGATGTTGCTGTCTAATGATGATGATGATGATGAATTCCGTATGAATGGCTATGGGTAAGGCCGACTGTTAGGCATTTCATTCCTAACCTAGCCATACGTCTTCTTCCTGTCAGAGCGGTCTTGAGCAAACTTGGTAGGATGAGGCGGTTGACCACTTCGCATATGCAGAACATAACTGAACCAGTAGAGTTGGTCCAGTTGTATCATATCAGGGACTAGGAAAACACTCAATGGGCTACCCAAAAGTACAACTTCATCACTGCTCACCAACATACGTGCCATAGTCCGAAATGACAGAGGGTCGCCTTTTATCGACAATGCACGGTAGATAAATACGGTAGCTTTAAAACATTAGTGGATATATCGGAACGTTGCCGACCCTATTTTATGCCGGGAAATTGACATCACGTCTTCAATAAGCGTTTTATAGGGGAAGGCACACCATTAACTCAATTGTTGATAGATGACAGCGGGCTTGCGTCCCCTGATTCCGTTCAGCTATAGCACCATTTCGGTGCCCAACTGCCATGCCACCCGAAGGAAGCACGAGGGCTGGGATACTGCCAGGTTGCCCAAGCCTAGACAGGGGAAGTCGAGAGGCGGAGGTCGGATTCGAACCACGGACCTTCCGATCAGTAAATTCGCGCTCTAACCACTTGGGCCGTCTAGCCCATCTCGCTGTAATAACCGCGTACTCGTCGTACAGTGGTTGTAGCTGCCGCAGTTTCGCTCACCGATGATTTGGAGTGTAGGGGGAAGGCAGCTGCGCATTGCAGGCGGGAGCTGGCAAATTGGTGAATTAATCCAGCACTGTTAGTGGGCTGTCAAGTGGGGGGTTGGAAAAGGAGCTATGCATTGGGGGCAATAGCCTAGATGCACGAGCGCCATTGAGGGCACGACTGTCTGACAATGCCTCTAGCCATTATGTGGCCCGTGTGGGGGTCCCCATCCAGGAAGACGGCGGTGACCAGTGCAGCTGAGTTTGCTGGCATTAACTTTCATACTTCGCTACCAAGTCATTGTTTGACCGCCTCTGGCCCTCTTCCACCCTTCACGTGGTCGTCCGAATGTTCCCACCAGATTCGGGCAATGCTCCGAAGACATCGATGGTCAAACACTGAAAGTCTTTTGACGTCCTTAGCGCGCAGCGGCCAGGTTTCTGATGTATACAGTAATATGGAGCGCACCTCACCATTGTAAACCCGACCCTTGACAGAGAAGCTGATGTCACGCCTACGCCACAGGTGACGTAGGTTCGCAAAAGCTGCTCTGGCCTTCCCAATCCGGATGGAAATTTCATCTTTCGTGAGACCACCAGGACTGATACAGATGCCCAGGCAGATAAATTTGTCTACTATCTCAATCGGTTCATTCACAAGCATGAGCCTAGGGTTCGAGCCCATCCAATCTCGCAGTAGCACTTTAATCTTTGCAGGTGTGAAGCACAAGCCGAACCGCGAGTCAGAATTATTTAGCTTATTTAATATTGTTTGCATTATCACGGAGTCAGATCCCAGAAGAGCTATGTCGTCTGCGCACTCGATGTCTGTGAGCAGGGACCCAGGGAGCATTTCGACCCCACAGGCATTAGAGGCCGGTGGTGAGTCTTCCGTGGTCGCATCAAAGACGAAGTTCGAGGGGAAAGGTGAAAGAGGACAACCATGTCGGACACCCCTTGATGTGTTGAACTCAAGAGAGAGCTTCCCGTAGGCCTTTACACGGCCGCGGGAGTTGGCGTAAAGCGCCTTAATGAGGGTCAGGAATTTATGGGGGACACCTTTGCTCCACAGACACTGTCATAGTGCTTGGCGGTCCACAGAGTCAAAGGTAGCATTCAGATCAAGAAAAACAACCATTGTTGGTTGCTGGAAGCAGTGTCACTGTTCCAGAATCTGTCGGAGGATGAAGATATGATTGATGCAACCTCTTGCAGGACGGAACCCAGCTTGGTTTTCACGGATCTG